CTGCTCTTACTTGTTGTCAACTCTTTGCACATGATTCAATCTTGGATCAAACAAGTAACCATGCAATACAAGTAATCAATGTAGTCTTGGAAAGGCTTTTAACTACGGGTGTTTCAGATCCAGGTATTTTAATTGAATTTGATGTATTATTATCATTATTTATTTATTTTTCATTGCTACAATAAAAAAATTTTGTGTGTTACTTGTAATTCTTTTTTTTTTTTTAAGATCCACGTATCCGAGAAATTGTCTTATCAAATCTTACGGAAAGATTTGACCGACATCTAGCACAAGCCGAAAATATTCGTTCTCTTTTTATTGCCCTTAATGACGAGGTTTTTGCAATTCGTGAAATTACAATTTCTATAATTGGTAGACTCACCTCTCATAATCCAGCTTATGTAATGCCATCATTAAGAAAAACATTAATCCAACTTTTGACAGAATTAAAATTTTCAAATTTCAGGTAAATTAGTTTATTTCTTCTACTTAAAAAAACATCTTTACAATTTTAATATTTATATACTCGTTTTAAAAAATTTTTAGTCGAAATAAAGAAGAGAGTGCACGTCTTTTAAGTTTATTGGCATCAGCATCCCAAAAATTAATCAGACCTTATGTTGAAACAATACTAAAAGTTCTTTTATCTAAATCACGAGATTCTAATCCAGCAGTGGCTGCGAGTGTTTTAGGAGCACTTGGAGAATTGGCACGTGTAGGGGGGGAAGATCTTTTGCCATACCTTAATAGTCTAATGCCTTTAATAATTGATGCGTTGCAAGATCAAGGTTCAACGGCAAAACGTGATGCAGCATTAAAAGCTCTAGGACAACTTTCTAGCAATACAGGATTTGTTATTGAACCATATTTGAAATATCCTAAACTATTATCTATTTTAATTAATATTTTAAAAACTGAGTTGACACCATCAATTAGACGTGAAACTATTAGATTAATAGGAATTCTTGGTGCTTTAGATCCATATAGACACAAAGTAATAATATTCTTTGTTATATTTTTTTTTTTAGTTTAATTAAAAAAATGGAATTTATTAATCTAATTTAAATAT